TGGGATTTTTTTTTAAAAAATATATTTTATTGATTTTTTACAGAGAGGAAAGGAGAGAGATAGAGAGTTAGAAACATCGATGAGAGAGATACATCGATCAGCTGCCTCCTGCACATCTCCTACTGGGGATGTGCCCGCAACCCAGGTACATGCCCTTGACCGGAATCGAACCTGGGACCTTTCAGTCCCCAGGCCGACGCTCTATCCACTGAGCCAAACCGGATTCGGCATTGGGATTTTTTTTAAATTCTGAATTTTATTTCTTTGTAATCCAATTTGGAAAAACATTTACTGAAAATAATAAGAGAAAATGAATCAAGTTTGAATTGCAAACTAGAGCTTTCAGCAGAACATAGTTGAGTCTTTGCCATGGACACTAAGTCATTTTCTTATTTCCAGTAGCATTCATATCACTACCATGTATTTTTCCCAATTGAGATGACACAATGGAAAGACCATTCCTACACCGAGCACTGAGTCATAAAAAAAATGGAATGTCAGTCTGAGCATCTGCAGATGAAGAAATCAAGTTATGGAAGAGGTCCCATGTAAGATTCTAAGTTTATGTCATTTGCTGATCAGTTACTATACTTTAAAAAATTATAAACACTGTAATCCTCTGTCTCTCTGTTCCTTAGCCTCTATGAAAAGCAAGGTATTTTGAGCAATCTCTGTTTTTGAGTAACAATCTCTATCACAGGGCCAATTAACTTCAAGACTACAGCTGGAAAATCCCATCAATGCTTAGCTACTAAGTTGAATTTTTAGGGCTACCTGACTACTGTGATTCTCTTTCATCTTCTTGTCTACTTCCTTCACTCTACCCTTACCCACCACAGTTCACTGTTAAAAAGATTAAGAGATTAAAATTGTCTATAATTCTAATAAGCTTTATCCCCCAGTTTGAGCATGTATCCTTTAAATGGAGAAAGGGAAAGGATCAATTACTTCAAATTACTTATATCTTAGTCAAAATCCCTCCCCAGAGTGAAATCAGCTTCTCTACTGGATATAGGTTAGGATTGGAACCCACAACCCAAGGATGACAGGTTCTCAGCAAAGACTGAAGAGCATCAGTAACACCTAGCAACCCTTATTTGTTCTTTTTCCCCTCATTTTCCATTGCACTCTGGTTTTGCTTCCACTTATCTGAAATCCCTAGAAAATTTTCTTTTAAAACAAGTGCGTGCCTGAGTCATTGGTCTATTTCCTCTGTTTCCCACTCAAGTGGTAAACAATTGACTCTATTCAAATGTCTGCTGTCTGTGAGCTGGGAACCTGCGTGCAGACAAAGCTCATTGTTGCAGGGCAGACTGCCAGGCCCACGCTCTCCTCTGCTTACCTCCTAGGCTCTGCTTCTCTGCTGTAAGAGCCACTTAACAAAATGCAAAATATCTGTGTGGTCCTGTGACCCTGCAGCTCCCTGTCTCCTTCACTCCTTGACCCCCCAATGAAATACCACTTAAATTCTCATGTGATGCATTTGAGAACAGCCTTGCAAAAATAACAGGAACAATGACAGGAGGTAGCTCAGGCCCCAGTCATGTGATTTTTCACAAGGACTAGTACATTTTAGTTATAATAATTTTAAAGATTATATCCTAACTCTCCTCCTAATCATTTTGTCTGTATATGGTAGTTGCCAGAGAAGAGAGCTCTTTAAAATTAGGGATATGGCAAGGCATGAAAATACAATAAGGCTAGTTTAGGGCTGTGGGAACACAGGGAAAGGTGACTGAATACAGTAGCAGAATCAGACGGTGGAAAAGGAGGACCAGGACAAGTTTTCAGTTAAAAGGGAACCCATAAGAGGAGATCTGAATCTAAATGATAAAGCCCTGAAGATGAGAGAGACCAAGTTTGCTTGCACTCGAGGAAAGCACACCCCCAGTGGTTGAATAGTGGACACTAATCCTGTCTAAAATGCTCACTGAGACATTTATTCCGTGTCAAAAGATCCTTGGTATTTCATCCAGCTCAAAACAACCATGAAGACATTTGGAAGTTAAGCATTTGTATTATTTAACAACTGAAATGACTCCATGGATGTCTGGGACAGGACCAGAAGTCCTGTAAGGACAGTGGCATATAGGAATCACAAAAGGAGCTTTTACAAATTGTGTAGACCTTCCCTTCCCAAGATTTTTTGTTTGTTTGTTTCCTGAGGAACAAGACCAGCTTCCCCCCTCCATCTAAAAATGATTAGGAAAAGAAGTGAATTTGAAAAGATATTATGAAAAACTAATAATTATTAAATAATTATGGCATTCCGGTTGTTACATTACTTTTCAAGGGCATTTGAACAATCATATGAAAAGTAGTTATCTTTTTTTTCTGATGAAGGTTAAATAACTTACGGAGGTTAAATAACTTGCTTATGGTCATGAAACTAGTAGGGTAGCACTAGGATGTTACCATCATCTCTGTGATTAAAAAGACATTAGAGAATTAATTCCTTTTTATGTAATGACTTTTTTTCTTTTGATATTCAAACACTAAGTTCCCTAGATTCTCCTTCTTCAATACCACTTAAATCCATCATCTTCTACCCAATCCTACTGCATCCACCTCGTAATTTGCCAAGCTTTCTCCCAAAGCCTCTTCCTTCCTTTTCCCCTTCTTTCAACATAAATCTGAACGACTCAGCCTGCTTAAAATCTTCAGTGACCACCCACTGACCTGATACTAAGCTTTGCTCCAAATCTGACTCCCTAACTTTCATCTCACACTCTTTTCCCCTTGCTTTCTATGCTCCAACCACACTCAACTCCTTTAATTCCCTCAAAACTATAAGCTGTACCCTAGATCAGTGCTTTCCCATCTGCTATTCTTCAACATGAAACACTGCCTCATCTTCTCTGCTTAGTTTAGCAATTCTCAAGTTTTGGGGGCTTAGGATTCCTTTATATTCTTAAAAATTATTTAGGGCTCCAAAGAGCTTTTTTTTAAAAAAAAAAAATGTGGATTATATCTATGGATAGCTACATGTTATACAAAACTGAGGCATTTTAAAATATTTAATTCATTTAGAAACAACATAGTAAATTGATTCCATTTTAACATAAACAGCATATTTTATGAAAATAACTATATTTTTCAAAAATAAGAATGCATTAGTGAGAATGGCATTGTTTTACATTTTTGCAAATCTCTAACATCTGGCTTAATAGAAGACAGATGGATTCTCATGGCTGCTTCTGCATTCAATCTGTTCTAATCATACATCATGTGGCTCTGAGAAACTCCACTGTACACTTGTAAGAGAATGAGAATGGAAATGGCTAATTATTTATTATTATTTTTATAATTATTATTATTATTATCATTATTATTATTAAAATAGGTTTGACTCCTGAACCCCCTAAATGCATCATAGGCAGTGACCTCCAGGGATCCCAGGCTATACTTTGAAAATTCCTAATCAGTATTCTCTTTCCCCCTCAGCTTTATTAAGGTTCAACTGGCAAATAAAATTGTAATATATTTAAGTGTACTGTACAACATAATCTGACATATGTATACATTATTAAAAGATTCCTGCCACTGAGTTAATGCATCCATCACCTCACACAGTTACTTTTTTTTTGGTGAGAACTTTTAAGTTCTGCTCTCTTAGCAAATTATAGGTATAATGAGTGTTATAATTTCAAGTATATAATACAGTGTTATCATCTATACTCATCATTTTATACATGACATCCTCAGACCTTATTAACTGTATAACTAAACGTTTGTAACCTTTTACCAATCTCTCCCCATTTCCCCACCCCAGACTCTGGCAAAAATCCATTCTATTTTTTCAGTTTGACTTTTTTTTTAAGGTTCTGCATAGAGGTGATACTGTGCAGTATTTATTTTTCTCTTTCTCATTTATCTCAGCATAATGCCCTCCAATTTCACTCATGGTATCACAAATGGCAGGATTTCCTTCCTTTTTTAAGGGTGAATAATATTCCATTGTACAAGATTTAAATGTTACCTGATGAGAACTAACTGAAAGAATTCCAGTAATGTACCTAATAGTCTGGTACCCTGTAGGTATTTAATACATGGAGATTTTTATGGTGGCAAGCCATATTCTAAAATTGATTTTTCCAAAAGTAGAAACTAGCATATTCTAAGACCAAAATCCAATCATTTACAGGATATCACCAGGGTATTTGGGGTGGGGTGGCCTTGAGGTCCTCAGGAGGGCTATGGTATCACTCTTCCTATAAAGAAACAATACCTCTGACTCCCTCTTTATTTCAGAGGCACCTGGATATTTTTACGTTGTTCCACAATACTGAAGAACAAAACTATTCAAGGCACTATCACACTCTCAAGTGATGTGGTGCTTCAAGGCAGGCTTCCCTGAGGACTCACTCTTACAATTATGCCAAGAGCATAGGACCATTTGCATGAAGACATTAGAGCCAACTATCTGTAACCTAACGATTCACATGGGTTTATCATGTATCACAGTGTTACTGAGGTTTCTAATCCAACTCTGAATGACTCTGGCTTGACCGTGCCAGAGAAGCAGAGACTGGCTTTAAAATAGAATTACCAGGGGAGAGAAAAATGATAGGGATTTTTAATTTTTGCTTTCTCTTGTCACTTCTTTTTGACGACATCTCTACAGTTAGCACCACACCTGAAGAGTGAAAGATAGAGGAAGAAAGGGAAGGACAGTCATAGCCAATGATTTTACTATATGTTACCAGTCTGGTAAAAACATTTAGAGTTAGACAGTATTCAAACATGGAATGAAATAAAGTTTGGTCATTACTTGTGTGGGTTTAATTTCCTCAGGCTACCCCCCATTGTTCCTTAGCAAGAAATATTTATGAGTCAGCTGTCCAGAATCATATTGAGAGATGTGAGTTTAAAAGGAGGTTCGATGCTATAGCAAGCCTCACTCACTTAGACTGTTCTTCAAGTTAAAGAGCAGAATGATGTCGGGAATGACTGAAACACACATGCTTTAGAGTGTGTCAAGAAGACCTGAAAGCTCCCACATGGAAGTAAAATTCATTACTGGCAAACACAGTGACAGGGCACCCCAGGGGCCTGAGCCACAAAGAATTTCCAGAGCCTTGTGGCTAACTCCATGGCCTAATTTGATCTTGAAGTCATTGTCTTGGATAATCTTCTCAAAACTGTTCCTACACTTAAGAGTTAGTCAGCACGTGGTTCTTTCACACTGACCTGTCAGAGTAGACTTTCAGCAAACACCAGTATCATGGAAAATCATCCAACATATGTCCCTTTCAAATGAGTTGGGCCAGAACCAACTAAATGGGGAAGTCATAAGCAAGGAAACATGCAACCCAAGGATTTTTAATGCATTGGCATAGCTCTTTGTACAGAAAACTCAGTCTCTTGGGTGTAACATGAGTTGCACAGAGCGTATGAGCATCAGAAAATTGACTCTTGCCCTAAATGGGGCTCACACTCCCTAACATTTTAAAGTCCAAACTTTTCATCATTTTAATGAAGTAGTCTTCAATTTCATAGCTCCAAGAAGTGACACATTTTAATAACTGGGATAAGGGATTTAGGTCAGAGAAACCCAGTATCCAGCCCTATTTCTGTCAGTGACTCACTCATCATATTGGGACGGGGTCTGACCTCTGTTTCTGATTTCCCTTCTCACTGGCATTGGAGAATTTCACTGCAGGAAAACCAATATCTGACTGGGCTCCAAGTGCTAAGTAAGAGCATTCCACGTTTATTCCAGGCCACCAAGAGGTTCAAGGTCACCAAGACACCGACTGTGAATTTGAACATTCGATGATTTTTGCAGGTGACTGGGTGAACAAAAGAAAACCCAGGAGATACAAAAAGATAGAAACCAGGAATTTCTCAGTTGAATCGTTTAACATGTTTCACTCTGATGGCTTTCAATATGAAAGAACTGCAGGCCTCTCAAATGAAGTCACTGAGTTTAGTTTTTTGGCCCACGCTGGAATAGGAAACATGCTCACTAATATTTACAAGGCACCAGGTAAAACAGCCAGCTTATTGGAAGGATACTTTTGTTGATGTTGTTTTTATTGCCCATATGCACAGGCAAATAATACTATTGAAAATCAAATAAACCAATTCAATACTATCTATTCCTGATTTAATTTTATTCTATCAACCACCCAGATTTTATGGAAAACTTTCTATGTGCCAGGCACAATACTAGGCATTGGAAATATATTAACCAATAAGATATTGACCCTGGCTTCAAGGACTCTTCAACATAATTATTATGTGTTTACATGTTGGAATTGCCAGAATGCTTAGCTCCAAACAAGGGCTCAGTTTAGACTTTGTAGAGACTTTGGCTGAGCTCAGTCTTGAAGAATGTGGAGATAGGTGTATTCATTTTTTTTCCAGGAGAGACAGATCATGCTCTCTCCACTGTTCTAGGACACAGAAAGATGATCATCTATAAGCCAGGAAGAGAGCTCTCACCAGAACCTGATCATGTTGCCACCCCAATCTTGGACTTGAAGCCTACAAAACTATGGGAAAGTTAATTTCTGTTATTAAGGCACCCAACCTCTGGTATTGTTGTTGTTGTTGTTGTTGTTATGGCAGGCCAAGCAGACTAATAAAGCAGTTAGGGCCATTTTTATAAGAACCACATCTGAAATTCAAAAGAGTCATGAAGACATACAGTGAGTTAAGTTAGTTATTCTGGAGGTTTACTTGCCAAATCCTACCCTATAGCATTAACCAATGGGGTATATAGTATGCTTTTCCACAGCGGTGCCATAGCCTGCTATTCCAACAGGATCAAGAAATTTAAAAAAGCAAATCCATGGGGGTGGACAGTCCTCTACTGGACAAATGGACATAACCTCTGTGGTTAGGGGTGTGGAACAACATCTGTCACTAACAGTAAGTGCCTATTCTGCTTATTCCTTTCCTTGGGAACAGCCACAGATGCTGCCATAACAGGTGTGCTGCTTCCCCTACGTGGTTTTCCCAGATACATCACATGCATTGTTCTCATTGAGTCACCTTTGCTATTCAACTGCCCAGATAATTTGGTTTAGGGGAAAATATGACAATCCTTGGTTGCTTGAATGTACTAGTATACTTGGCAGGGAGAGGAAAAATTACCAAATGCTGGAGACTGTGTTTCTCAAAATTTTTAATTGTTAAATTCATTCACTTCTATATGTGTTGTTCTTGAGTAACAGAGTTAGGATAGGAGCATGTTCATTTCTTTCCCTGAACAACAGATCAGCAGGCTGAGGCTGGAAGGTATAGCAATATGTTGGCAATGAACGTATTATTGTAACTCAAACTTGACTACTAAATTCTAAGAATCAGTCCTTAACCTATAGCCCCCATATACCCTACCAAGAATTTTTATTATTTTTTTTCATGAACCCAGTGAAAAGTACTAGCAATTTTTAACCTTAAACCATGTGATTTTCATGTCTGGTATATAACTAAGTTGTGGTGAATTAGGAAATTCAGAGACCTATGTCTTTTATCATCATGTATCCTATATAATAAAAGCCTAATATGCTAAGTGTCTGGTCATCCAGTTGGCCATTCAACCAATCAAAGCGTAATATGCTAATGATATGCTAAGACAACTCAACTGCTATGACATGCACTGACCACCAGGGGGTAGACAGTTGACCAGTTGACCAGTCACTATGACGTGCACTGACCACCAAGGGGCAGACTTCCAACCGGTAGGTTAGCTTGCTGCTGGGGTCCGGCCGATCAGGGCTGAGTGAGACAGACCAGACATGCCCTGGAGCCTTTCTGCGGTCCCTTCCTGGTTGACCAACCTCCTGCATCCCTCACCAGCCCCAATCGTGCACTGGTGAGGTTCCTTAGCCTGGTCTGCACCCTCTCACAATCTGGAACCCCTCAAGGGATGTCAGAGAGCTGGCTTCAGCCTGACGGCGGAACAACCAGTCGCTATGACACTCACTTATCACCAGGGGGCAGACATTCAATGTAGGAGCTGCTCCCTGGTGGTCAGTGCGCTCCCACAGGGGGAGCGCCGCTTAGCCAGAAGCCAGGCTCATGGCTGGTGCCTCTCCTGCCTTTGCAGCAGCAATAAGGATGGCCCCTGGGAGCGGGCCTAAGCCAGCAGTTGGACATCCCCTGAGGGGTCCCAGACTGCGAGAGGGCGCAGGCCAGGTTGAGGGATCCACCCCCCAGTGCACGAATTTCATGCACCAGGCCTCTAGTCAGAATAGAACTGTCTACTAAACCTGACTTATAAATGATCATGCACCTCCAGACCTCTTTTTAAAGAGCAATGCTGGATGGTAAAATGTCATATGTAACCCTAATAAAAGGCAGGACTGCATGCAATTCCATCTAAGCATAGAATTGCATTCAAAGAGAAACCGTCTGCTAAGTATAATTAAAAACAGTTCAAATGTTTGCTAATGTTTCATAAAGATTGACAAATAGAGAAATATATATTTAATGCAGAAAATGCATATGGAAGTTTTCTAATTTAAAATATACTTGTATTTTGCTTATAAATTATCTATTTGAATATTTATATGACCAGAATCTTACTTTTCACAGATGTAGCAAATACAATTTTCAAATTATCTTTTAAGATGAGAATTGCCTTAGATGAGAATCTATCTAGGTGCCCTGAGAAGTTGCTGTCCAAGAGTACACACATCCTTTCTTAAGGAAAAAGGACTTAATTTTAAGGTTGCTCCTTTAGATTCATGAGTTGACATTTCCTCTCTATGAAAGCAGCATCCCAGATACCTATCACTCAAATAAATGAGATATATATTTTAACTAAGAGAATGAAGTGTTAAAATTTAAGAAAAGAAAAAAAAATTATGTGTCAGTCACAAGCAAGATCTCAGGGACAACTCACTAGGCTTTTGGGTTCCCTCAAAATCTATGAAACCTAACCTAGTGCCTTCTACCAGTACCTTGGGGTAGATGGTGTAAATAGAGTTAGGGGGAACAAGCCCACTCCCATCCTCCCCCTTCCCCAGGCCCTCACCACCCCACTGTCTGTGACCACAGGTTATGCATATATGCATACAAGTTCATTGGTTGACCTCTTCCCACCCACCCTTCTTTGCCTTCCCTCTGGGTTCAACAATCTGTTCATGCTTTTACGACTCTGGGTCAATTTTTGATCATCAGTTTATTTTGTTCATTAGATTCCACATATGAGTGAGATCCTGTGATACTTATCTTTCTCTGGCTGGCTTATTTTGCTCAGCATAATACTCTCCAGGTCTATCCATGTTGTTGCAAATGTAAGAGTTCTTTCTTTTTTATTGCTGCATAGTATTCTATTGTGTAAATATACCATAGTTTTGTGTGTTTTTTATCCACTCATCTGCTGTTGGGCACTTAGGCTGTTTCCAATTCTTAGCTATTGTAAATTGCACTGCTATGGCCATGGGGTGCATATGTTCTTTCTGATGAGTGTTTCGGGTTTCTTAGGATATATTCCTAGAAGTGGGATGACTGTGTTAAATCGGAGTTCCATTTTTAATTTTTTGAGGAAACTCCATACTATGTCAAACTGGTAATTTATTTTAACACATCTAATGCCAGTCCATCTGGCTTCAAGTAACTTTTAGCTAAAGAACAGGACTTCTGCAGGACATAATATTTTCACAAGACTGGACTGATTCTGATTCCAATTAGAAGTCTTTTGTTTTGAAGTCACTATGATGGAATCCTACAAAGCCCATTTCATATCATATTGCCATTATCTGTTTACTTATTATCTGCTCTGCTAGACTGTAAGCTCCTTAATGACAGGCACTGCCCTGTGCACTGCCCTATCCCCAGCACCTCTCACAGACAGTTAAGTTTTGACTCTGGCTATAGAGGTTCCTGTTAGCCATTTTATCAGTTGTTTATTTTTTTAATGGGCAAACATTTATATCAATTTAGCATCTGGACTGGAAATCTGCACACAAAGCTTGCTCAAAAATGCAAGTCGGTTATAAAAAATTTTAATTGCATAAACTTTTGTAGGCCCTGAGGAATCCCTGTCACTGAAGGGAACAAATTATATTCTCTCTTATGCTCAAAGCTTATCTGAAGGCATCCCTCCTTCAGAGACTACTAGATGACCCCCAGCATCCATTCCTCTCCACATTATTTCTTTCTGGAAAAAAAAAAAGCAACAGAACATTTCAAAGATATGAATTGGACAGTCTGCCTGCTAATTTGTTGGATATCTTTTGTATTTTTAAAGATTGTAGTAAAGGATATATCCATTCAAATAAAGGGCGTATGGCATGTTCTCAATGGCAGATAAGATCAAAAGGCAAAATTAAAAGAAGCTTGAACACTTTCTGCAGTGTTGATAGTTACATCATTTAGCAACCTTGACCTCATGTTTGTCTTAGGCACACCACCCAAAAGGTCAAGATTTTTTAAAAATTGCAGGCTGTATTTGTGACTCATCAAGGTTAAAAAATAAATTAATAATAAA